TCCAGTATTTTACCCTATATTGTCTGTGTGTTCCCGTGCTGATGAATGTGCACTAATATGCACATGTGTCATGAGCCAAGCATGTTCTGCACGTGTTTAGCCAAATTCTGACCTGAGGGACGAGAGGTGAGTGCTCCCTGGGCTGCTCAGGAGCGTTTCCAGGGCTGGGCTCAGCCCAGGGACTGCCCAGTGCTGGCACTTCTGAAGCCCCTCCTGGGCTGAGCTTTGCTCCCCTGTTTGGGGTTTGAGCAGCTGGGGGTTCTCTGGAGCTCTGCAGAAGTGGTGCCAGGGCTGGGGAGGCACTGCCTGGCTCACCCTCCCACCTCTGGCACTGCCTGGCTCACCCTCCCACCTCTGGCACTGCCTGGCTCACCCTCCCACCTCTGGCACTGCCTGGCTCACCCTCCCACCTCTGGCACTGCCTGCACTCCAGATGCTGATTAACGATTAGCATGTAACTAATTAATAAATCAATACCACAGACAAATAAACCCTCCATTACAGTGGCCTCCCAAGTGTCTCCCCTCTGGGGCACATCAGCCATCACTGACCTGAGCCCCTCTGAGCCAAAATCAAGCACCACATCGAGTTACTGTGTGGTCATCATCAGGCTCTCAGAAGCACAGAACCTTCTGTGCCTCATTTTTCAAACACAAAAGCCATTTGAAGGTGTTGTGATACAGCTTAATTAATGCCCTTGTAACAACCAACCAGAGCATTCAGCCAGAATCCAGAGGTGGTTTCTGAATCTGTACAAACACCTTCAAATCCAGAATGGGACAGGGCAGGACTGATTTTTTCCATTCTTCTTACACAGAAACTGTGCAGGTACTTCTGTGCCTTCCTTGGGGCGTGACTTATATATTGCAATAACTAGCAAGTGTATGTGTGCATAACTTCAAGGGACAGTAAAGAAAAGCAGTTGATTTAATTGAATTATGCATAAAATAAGCTGTAATTTTTCAGGGAGGGCTGAGGTGAACCAGGTGAACAAACTGACCTTTTGGAACCTGAGGGCCAGGACCAGCTCTGCAGTCTGGCTGTCACTGCCCTCGTGGGGACTGTTCAGGAGGCAAAGGCTCACAGGGCACTGCTGTGTATTTACCTACTTCTCCATATAAAAGCTGTGTAAATGATCATTATAGAGCCCTTCTAACAGGAGATCTGCCTCACTAGGTCTGAAGACTCTTTCTCATCTTCAGATGCTTTTCCACATCCCTGGCCGTTACCTGCCTGTGCTTTGCTGGGCTCCAGAACAGCTCCAGCAACACTGCCAAGCACACCTCTGAAAGGAATGCAACACATGTTCCAAATAATTGCAGTATTTTTGTGATTTGGTGTCTCCTGGGTTCCACAAAGCCTCAGGAGCTGCTCATCTCCAGCAGAACCAGGGAGCTGATGGGCCCAACAGTGCAGGGTCTGCCTGCCCAGCAGAACCAGCCTGGAACTGCTGCCAGGTAATGACAGACCAGCAGTGACTCCAACAGGGCGAATGAAAGGAGAATTAAAAGCAGATTTAGGCAATCCTTTCTCCTCCTTGAGTCCTCTAAGTGCAAAATATACTCCCTCTATGCATGCAGGGCACTGTAACTGTGATTTATTGAGCATGAAGAAGATTGTTCCCTCTCAAGTTAACCAGTGCTGGCCCAAGGGGAAGGAGCTGATCTCAAGCTGTCCATTGCTAGTGCCTATCCCAGTAAAATGCTGATTTTCTCAGCACTCCTACTTAAAAAAAACAAACAAAAGGGCAAACAAACACGGTGAAAGACCTGTTTTGGTCAGACCTATCATGAGAGTTGGTGAAAGTTTTCTCATTTGCGCATCAATAACTTGAATTATTATGGACACAGCTTCTTGGAGAACAAAATAGTAAACACTGTCCCTCGGTGCTCCCTCGCCAGCCTGTCAGTTGAATCTTGGCTTCTCCTGAGAGCCTGTAAATTGGTGGGGTTTGTTCATTAGCAGCATAACGTGAAGGTGGAAGCTGTAATGCACGTGATGGGAGCACAAGAAATTACTTCAGCTTTCACTGAAACAAAGGACATGACTGTGCTCTGGCAATAAGAGCATAATGGCTGCTTAATTTTTCCAGACAGGGACCGGAGCTCACTGGGGTTTTTTTTTTTGGGCTCTTGCTTTGTTTTTGTTTTTGCTCCAGCTTTTAAGGATGAGAATGTTGTGTCTGACGCGTGTCAGCAAGCACAGGAGATTCACTAGCGGAGCTGGGTCCGTCTTGCTCCCCGGTGAGGAATAAAAGCATGAACCGTCTCTCACTTCGGGAGGAGAAGGGGGGCTGTTTGCAGGCTGCGGGAAGTGCGAAGGCATTGTCAGGTCTGGGGCAGGCGGAGCCGGGGCTGTGCCGGGCTCTCGGCAGGGCCCATCAGCCGGGTGTCACTCGGCAGCCTGGAGGCATCTCCGGGAAGAGCCACGACAGAAGCGTGGGGGGCGAAGCTGCCGTGTCTGTGGTGGTGCAAGACTAACAGTGATCGTTGTGGAAAGCAGACACAAAAACGGATAAAAGAATAAAGAGCCTTTATCAAGGAAGCAGAGAGAGAAAATGGCCACTTCTACACTCCCCACGTTTGGATGCTCAGTAATGCTGTTATCAAGGCTGGTAAAAGCTTTGCTGAACAGCAGCTGTGCCCACATTTAATCCCAGCCTGGTACCTGCAAGGCCTGATCCTGCCCTCAGCTGCTCCAGGAAATCTGGTGTCAGGGGGGCCGCTGAACTGAAAAGTATGGGTGGGGAATGAAGATTCTGTCCTGTTTATTTCTTCATGGTTGCATCTCAATTATTTCAATCTTTAGGTTTATTTCACTTCAGCAGATAAAGCAGGAAGGGGGGAAATATGGGGGACGGGGCCAAATTCAAAGTGGAGTGGCAACTTCAGCTGGGTGAGCTCACTTTTTGCCTGTGTTTGATTGAAAGTTTGGATAGTTGTTTTCCCAAAGTTCCTGATTTTGTTTTACTTTTACTTCTCAGTACTTTAGTCCTTTCCATGGATGACAGAGGAGACTGAGGGTGATGTTTTGTTCACTGGCAACCCGAGCAGTTTCAGAGCACAACAGTATCATTTTCCAGCACAGTTACATTTATTACAGTGTGGTCCTGTGAAATGGGCTGACACACTTTCAACTATCCAAATAACAATCTGATGGGATATGGAAACCACAGGAGCCAGGGAGAAGGTGGGAGTCTGGGAGGGGGTCTCGCCTGTCTTGCTCCAGGGACAGGGTTACATGGGGAAGAAAACACAGCACGTTTGGGCCCCAGTGCAGGAAGGGCAGGATTCACTGGGATTCACAGGATTTCTGGTCAGGTGCCACTGACCCTGCTGGATTAATGTTTGTCACTTTGGTACTTTGTGGAATGTGGAAGAAACCACAACGAATCCTTCACTACAGGGGGAAATAACACGTGTGAAAGGGGAGCTGAGGTCTCTGAGAAGGGTTTTTAAAATCCTCTGTTTTGTACAGCAAACAGTCTCAGAACTGAAGTCACTCCAGGCTGACAGGGCAGCCAATAGCAGCAACTGGAGACAGGAATTGGGGCTCGGAGTGCAGTGGGGATCATTAGGAGTCACACCATGGAACTGGAGGAATGTAGCAATGTGTCTTGCAGAACACTGATTAGTTTATTCTCCAAGCACCCACCTTTTACAGGCACTGCATCACTTCCCTGTGCACATCCTGCGGTTGCTTTTCATTTGGGTTCTTTCAAAATGTACAACAACACTGGTTTGGTGAGTGCTACTTATTCAGAATCACCATTTCAATTATCATCTCATCAAAAATCTTTATTCTCTGATGCAAAATGCATTTTAAATAATCTTTCAACTCTAAGTCCCTGGTAAAATGTCTTATATTAATGAATTTATAAATAGCAAGTGCCAGTTTTATGCCAATTCTAACAGCACAGAAAAGAACACACTGTGAAGGAAAACACACCAGCTTTTTGTCACCCAATTTTGTTGTTTGTAATCTAAGTGCTTGTGAGAAGGATAATTCTGATTTCATAGTTCTTCAGCTTAAATCTGTTGTCATTTAATCCTCTACTCTTGTTCCACCACGAAGCCAGGGAAGCACATGCAGGCACAGCCTGGGCAGGAGCTGTGCTGGCCCCATTTCCATGCCTTGCTGTGGTGCCTGTGTATCAAACCCAGCCACGCTTTGGGGTGTGCAGTTCTGAAAGCCCCATCCAGAGCACAAGGAGTGTTCAACCAAAGAGCCAGTCCATCTGCAAACAACACTGCAAAGCCAAGGTTTGGTCAGCTCAGGAGGAGTTGCTGTGCAGACCCCCGTGCTCACCGAGAGCTTCACAAGAGACCACACCCGATGGAAGCCGGGCCGAAGCACAGGAGGTACCTTGTTTGCACATTTGGTTCTGGGTCTATGATTTTTATACAGAATTAAACATTTCTTCTGCTGCATTTTTGAAGTTGTTTCATTTTGGTTTGAAGCGTTTGCTGGTGCGTGCAGAGTTTACTAACACTGTCCTGACCCTGGAGATGGTGTGATATTTTATGGTGTGCACTGACATTTATGTACCCAACTTGGCTCCCATAAATAGATTAATTTCCACAAATTAAAGGGCAGGTTTGAAACATTACAAGGTGATGGAGCAATTCTGTTTTGGCCTTTAGGATTCACAGCGGGGCTGATGATTGAGCAGTGCTTTGTCAGCTGCAAATCCACAACACAATTTTTTCAGGTATCAGGGTAAAAGTGGAAGTGCTGAGAAAAGAAATACTGAGGTTTATAGTTTCACATAACACCAAAACCTTGAATACATGGAGCACTTAACAAGTGACATCTTTATGCTAGAGGACTGAGTTCCAATTTTAGACAATACTCCTTGCACATCCCAAATGAGGCTGTACCAAAGTATCTCCTGAAGTAAAGGTACCTTAAATGACAGAAAGTATAATAAAAAACCCCCTTACTGTGAGTGCAGAGTTAATATTCAGACATTGGGAATAAGATTCAGAAATCTCCAACTGTAGATGCTGGACAAAGACTTTATTTTGGTTTTCAAAATCAAACCACAGTTCATCTGGGTTTGGCTTTCACTTCACACAAACATCCACTGGGTATCAGGTGCCAGCTGTGGTTAATACAACTCTTTGAAAACCAGTGGTCTTGGAGTTCCCCTTTCATTTGGCCTGAATTAATGTCATTTTGTTGCTACTAAATTACACATCAATCATTATTATACCTGTTTATATAAATCGACAATTAGAGGATCTTATGACCTTAAAATAAACTGAAGAACCACATGATTAAAATAAGTACAAGATACAAACCTGGCAATGACAAGAAAGCACATTGATTTAAAGTACTGTTCTTACAATAATCTTGGCTGTTCAAAGAGCAGCTTACCCAGGTTATAGTTAGTAGCTAAACTGCAATTTAGCTTCAGTTTCCAGAGTCTGGTTCCAAGTTATTCTTTATTCTGGTTTTTAAGTAATGTGTCTGAAGTTACTCCTGCTATGTGTTCTCATTCTTGGGTAATCCTTCCAAAGGATATGAATCACTTCTCCATTATTTGTAAAGAATATGGAAAAAGTAAATTATTATTATTTTGTGGGCATTTGGAACTGGATTAAAAAAAAAGAAAAAAAGGTGGGCTGTTGATCATTGTGAGTCATTTCTTGGGAAGAAGGGAAGAACAAACACTGGCTGCTGACTTACTGCTAAGAAAGCCAAGCACTTAGTGCTGACTCAAGAGGTAGATACTGATAGAGCACAAGGGAGATCCTGCAGCAGGATTAAAAAGCAAAGTCTTTCCTCTTGAAGCAATAAGGAGTTAGAAGGAGCTGCCTGTGTTGACTTCTTGCAGGCTCCTTTTTGTTTAAGCAACCTTCTAGTTTAAACATGTTGGCCAATTAGAATTATATCCTGCTGCAACTAACTGAGTCTCCCTCGAGTTTCCAAAAATCCTGGCAAATCTGCAGGGGATGAAGTGCAGGACTGAACTCCACAACGAGGGGCAGCTACACCAGTAACTCCCAGTGCAATCCACTGCTGTTTCGGACTATTTGATGTGTCCTGGTTGGGACAAATACTGGCACCCACAAAACTGCAGTGACATAAATGCCTTGTGACCCATCTCCATTCTGATCAACTAAATAAAAAAAAACGTTTTGATACCAAAGCTGATTTTTCAAAGTGATTTCGTGTCACTGTGGCCCTTGCACGCTTTATTTGTGTACTTGGGAACCACTCAATGTGTGTAACTACACAAAATACCCGCAAAGAACACGCAACACAAACCTCAGTGTATTTTATGATAATGATATGACTATACTTATGGTTTGCCTGCTTTTTTCAAGCTCCAGTGGACACACTGTGATGAAGCCTAATAATTTGGGTTTTTTCTGCAGGTGTTTTTTGTTTGTTTGCTGTGTGTTGGGTTTTAATGAGGAAAGCTTCTCTCCAAATGCAAGGATGCAGTCCCATGGCAGCCTGAGCCGAGTCATGCCTGACACCCTCCTCTGCATCTTCTCATCCTCTCTGTACAGGAGAGATGGTTTTGTGCCAGCACAGGCACCTGAGAACTCAACAGTGGGCCAGGTCAGTGCTCACTGAAAATTAGTTCTAAACACAGATTCCAGCACTGGTAAGTGATGAACTGGGAATGAGCAGTGCAGTTGGACTGTCAGGAGCATGGCAGTCTGTATTTATGTCTGAAGAAGCTGCTGTGAAACTGAGTATGAGTGGAGGATCTCATGGAGAAACAATGATAAAAATTTGCTCTGTCATTCCAACTTGCAATAAATATGTTTAAATTGTAGTCTTATTAATGAGATCTTTATCTGAATGTATTCATTGTTATTTTGAAGTAAACCTGAAGCAGAGTTAACAGCTTGGATGCCACAGATTTCAAATAATCGCTACCAAGCAAAATGCTACATGAGAATACATTTACCAAAATGATTGTGGATGTTTACGTAAATCACTTGTAAAGCATAAATATTCAACAGTCCAAGGGTCCACTGGAGGAGTTTTCCTAGGACTGCAAATGGATCTGAGTGCCTAATCTTTATTCCATCATGTCAGTGAGGGCTCACGTGGTCAGTTGAGGCTCCTGCCGAGGGCTCCTTTGCAGCTCCGGATCTGGTGATCGATCTCGAGCTCCAGCCCTGGGACAGCTGATCTCCAGCCAATGAATCCCTGCGTGGTTTTAGGCACTGGAGGGGATGGAAGCACCTAAAATGAAAGGAACATGTAAAACTGAATGATGAAAAGGTTTGTGATTGGAATGGCTGTCATGCAACGTCATCTTTTGTGCTGTTGTGTGGATGGAAATGAGAACTTATAAAAAATGGTTCCAAATGTTGAGTTAATATCCTGCAAACACTGACATGAATGAAAGGAAACAAGAACTTTGATAGACAGCCCAGGTGCATGCAAGTTTGATTTATAACACGATAGTTTATAATTTAATTAGAATAATTTAGGTCCCATTCTACAGCAAGACACAGGGAAAGAGAGAAGTACAAGGGCCAAATTCCAACAAAGCCACTGTCATTTACCACCCTTCTAAAACCAAAATGCAAATTATTGTTTAGTAGTGTATGTTAGCAGTCTTTTTTAAGTTTGGTTCAATACTAAGGGCTTTAGTGACTTTATATTCTTAGGAGAAGAATTTTATCTTTGTCTTTAGCTTTTTTCCATACAGAATAATCATCTTTATCATCATCATCTTTAAAACTAATTAACTTCTCTAAACAGGAGAAATGGTGTTTTCTAGTTGCTGTAATATGTTTGGTAGCAGTGCAGCCACGGAACAATAATTTTATGTCCAAATGCTAAAGATGTTTCTGACCAAGCTGGCTTTTGCATCAGGAACTCCTCACTCATTCCACCTTCTTTCCACTTTAAAAGATGGGTAAGCAGCAAGTTAATCTGCAACTAATCTAGCTAAGGAGGAAACAAAACAAAAGGCAGCAGTGTCTGCTCAGTGACTGCTGTGCTTACTTTGGCTGAATCATCTCTCTCGGGCACGTTCTATCATTTTAGCATCTGGGGACTCAGCAGAGAAATACACAGCGAGAGAACAATGTTTCAGTTCTCTTGCCAGAGTTGCTTCACTTTGTTCTTTGGCCAAGATTAGAAAACGTTTATGATATTTAGGTGGAGCAGTTCCTCAAAAAAGATAATTTTTTATGGCCAAAAGTGCCACCCACCGAGCAGGATAATGAAGGGAATCATGTCCCGCTTTGGATCTGGGGGAAGGGACTGTGAAGCAGCTTTTACTGCTCTGACCTAGAGAGGGGAAGGGATATGGCCGTTACCATGAGGGTAAATGTGCAGAAAGACACAGCTCTGAACGAGGGGTAAGAAACTTCACTCTGAACATGCCAAGAGTGACCTAAAGCACAGCTAACCCTGATCTTCCTCCACATCCCGAGGTGCCACCGGAGCTCTGATCCCCGTTTCCGTGTGCACCGGGCAGAGCAGCTGACAGTGGGTCATTGTTAACACACAGACACCCTGACAGCGCTGAAGGCTGACTGGAACGGGCCCTTCACTGAACCTGCACGTGTGAGATTGTACAGACTGAACAACGAGTGGCACTAATGGCAGAAACGATGCCATTTCATTTCTCTGCCACTCAGCACTAGCATTTAATTTTTGTTTCAATTTAATCTCAGTAAGAGCTTTTACAACTTCCTTACCTTATCTTCCCACCCTTGGAATCCTTTCAAAGAAAGCTGGTTCAGCAAGCAAGAATTTCCAGTCTCCTTTGTTTCCTTAATCTTTAAGTGGACTAACCTTCTTTTCTGTTAGCACCTCCTTACACTTCTATGAGTATATTCCTCTCCCAGTGTCACTGCTTTATTTGCCTGTGTAGTTACCCCATCCATTGGTGATTCTCACTCAGTATATTCAGAAATTAAACCTTCACATTCTACTGTCCTTTCCAGCTGTTTGACATTTATATAAATCATATAATATAAAATCAAATAACTATTACTTTGCTCATCAGAACTGGCTTCTTATTAATTTTTGCCACTCAAGAGGACAGTGGCATTGTCTGTGCCAACAAGAAGACTCTCTTAAATAAAAATAGAAAAATTACAGCCATATCCAAAGGGTAATTCCTTGTCTTACACAAATGCTTTTAAAGCATTGCTCGGGTTGCAAATGCAGTTTACTCTGACCTTTACTTACAGACCCACCTCTACAAGACAACTGTTTTTTAGAGCTTGTGTGATTTCCTACAAGAGATGTTGTTGTATTACAATTTAAAATGTAATTTTCTAACCTTAATGTATTTTTCCACAGGTGTCACAGGGCGAATCCGCATGTGTTCTGGAAGCTCTATCTTGGGCTTTGCATCCTTTTTTTCATCTCCTATCAACTAAAACCAAAACATGATCAAAATCTGGACTCTACATTTTGAAATAGACTGTAATATGTGTTATCCACACCACTCCCCTCATTGTTGCGTCTGAACTTCCTGTTCTTTCCATCTCAAGCACTTATTTCAGTGCTTTGGAAATTACTGATATTTTTTTTGTTTCAGAAAGTGATGTTATTCTGAATTCCAGGTGGAAGGTTAAATACTGCTGCTACATCATGGGTCCAAAAAGAGCCAGAAATACACCTTATAAATGTATGTATGTCTTATATGAGTAGAAAGCGAAGATTAATAATGCTAAATACACATGTTCACCAACAGCAACTGTGCAAAGCTGGTATGTGTTCCAAACCACAGTCACCCAGGGTGGATAATGAAACCACGAGGACCAGGTTACAAAGGTGCTAACTGGGATGCCTACAGGGATTTTCTAAAACTCCCAGAGCAGATTACTTTCACATTTATAACCATGCAGGGGCTGCATCAACCCTGTCCTTTAGCAATGAAATACTGTGGTTCCAAATGTAACATTATGTGCTACTATATTCTAACAACATCACTGAGAAGAGACATCGCTCCAAATATTTTCGTTTGTTGTAAATTCCCCCCCCCTGACAATTTAATTAGCTGGAACCTTTTCCCCTAGATTTTTAAACTACCATATGGGTAGACAAAGGGGAAATATTTTCCTGTCAGTGTGCATCTAGTACTTGTTAACACTATTAGGAGTCATGTTTCTCAAGAGAAATATATCAGAATATGCACGGCATATAAATTACCACTTGCTGTTATTTTATTCAGAGGAAAACTGAGGATTTGAACCCAGTGCAGTTGTTACCTCGGATCCCAGCTTAGCAAAGCACCCTCAGTATGTGTTTAATCTTCAGTGTTCTCCTAATTCTGTGTCCAGATAAATTTGTGTGCAGTTAGGATTTCGCGTGTTGCTTACGTGCCACTCAATTTTACCTCCTCGAGAGGTGTTTTCAAGAACCCCCATTTGTCAGACCATCTTTTTGCAGCATCTCCTTCCTTTTCGACGCATTTTTTCCTGAAACCAACCGAGATACATTCAAGATTACTTTGAAAATTGTCATTAAAAAAAAAAAACAACAATACAAAACCCCAACTACTAATGCCACAAAGCACAGCCGTTTAGCAGGAATCTTTAGATATTTACCTTAAAAATAACTTTTACCTTATTACCCTAACTTATAACTGCAAGTTTATGAGCGAGTTACCATTGTCTGACTCAGAGGTAACAGGAAAAACACTTTCCATAGGTTTGAAACAGCGCGTGTGAACACAGCGCCTTTAAATTACGTTTGCGAGGAAGCGGAGGGGGCTGAAAAATAAGCTGCGATGTTCTTTCGGACATCCTTCCATTTACTGTGGGCTGATTCGATGCCCGCACACCCGGTGGGGGATGGAACCTCCAAACACCTTGATTTGTTTCTTTTTTAACCAAGGCACGCTCGTGAAAGCGGGCACAGTCTTTAAACACGCGCGAAGCGAACTCCTGACCAAGCCTGCGAGCGGCGGGGAGGGGGGGTTTGTTCCGGGGCCGTTACCAGTAGTTGTCCCGCGCGATGAAGTTGCAGGCGGGCTCCACCAGCCCCGGCTCGCGGCGCGCCATGACCCGCACGGGCCTGAGGGCGCTGAGGGGCGGCGCCCGTGTGGGCGGTCACAACATGGCGGGCGGGGCGGGCGCTGCCGGGGGCGGCCACAAAATGGCGGGCAGCGCGCGAGCCGTCCCTCAGGGGTGGCGTTCTCCTGGCTCCGGTCCCCTGTGACACCACGGCCGTATCTGAGGGGGGGAAAAGCATCAGCTCCCCGCGCCGTGTTTTGTTTAGGCCCCTCAGGCAAACGGCGGGAAGCGCGCTTGGTGTTTTCGGTAATTTTTTTTTTTCCTGTGCGTCTTTTTTTTTTTTTTTTAATGTTAGTAGGAAAGTGAGTTGGGTTAAGCTGGTGAAAAGCTGGTATCTCGCTTGAGGAAGCAGCCGTGTGTCCAAGGGAGAGGTGTTGCCCGAGCTCTGTAACTCAGGGGTTAGCCGCGCTCCCCTGAGCAGAGAGCTGAACACTGGGCTGAGAGTCTCCTCCAAACCTGGGCAAAGGGAGCTGTTCAACACCCAAAGGCTTGAAGTGTTTTTATCGTTTGAAGTGGACATGAGAAATAGTTGAAGGACGCTGTTTTTTGATTTTGTTAATCACCTTGTCAACGTGCCCAACACTCAGAGCATGTGTGCTACGATGGGTGTTTGCTCCTGCTTCCCGCTTTTTTTATTCCTGGTTCCTCTTGATACACACCATCATTATCTTTTGGTAATTGTAGTGGGACACATCAGTCCTGTGCCATACAGTGTCCTTCTGATCTCTTTTTCTGGTAAATGTTCCTTACGACACACATGCCTGTGTTAGAAGTTCTGAGAAAGACCTCAACGCACTTTATGGGTTCTATGTGAGAACCCAAAAAATATTACAGCTTGTAAAGAGTCCACTGTGTTCCAACACATTAATATTTTTGGCTCTCCATCAATTTTTTTTAGTAATTTTGTTTTCTTGCAGTTCTTTATAAAATATTTTGACAATGAGTGCAGCCAACTGGCTCTTTGTCCCCATGGGTTTAAATAGTTCCCTGACCTCTTTCCTTTGTCTGGAGATTGACTTGTGCAAACACACTGTAAATAGTTAATGGGATTCTCTAACACCATGGGCAGTTATTATCCTTATTACAAAATAAATTCAGAAAGGTTTGGACTTAAGCTGAGTGGTTTATAGGCAATGTGTTTGAATGCTTAATTGCTAGCTTTTTTTTTTTTTTTTAATAGAGTGAAGGATCTAAAGGCCTTAAATACCTAAGTATGAGAAGACTATATACATTTATTAGTCATTACTCTATTTGAGTAAGAGGAGAATGAAAACTCATTCTGTAGTCCTAAAATAGCAATTAATACTGCTCTTCTGGGTCTCTAAAATCATTAAAGTATCAACAAATGGAGTATTTCACTTACATGCCATTTCTTGATTCTCTAATTGATAATTAGGCTAGCAATTAAATCAGCTGAGTCTCGTATCATACCCATAAATGCTTACTCATTGTCCTACTTAATTAACTCCTGCTGCTTAGTCACATTTATCTCAGGAGCCCTATAACTGCACTGATGCTTTCTGTGAGAAAAAGTAATTTGTTAATGAAACAATCAAATTTGTAGCTTACTGTGTCAGGGCTTAAACTGCAGTAGCGTTTGTCAAGAGAGATGAAACTTCCTACACAAACATTGTGAAAATAGAACTTTAGAATGTTCAAGCCTTTCTCTTTTCTGTACTTAATTATTTCTCAGATGAGGGAATGTAGTAAATGAGTAGCTAGTTTTAGGTCTTAAGTTCTTATGAGCACAGGGCAATATTAGAATTGCACTTGCACTGTGAGGAAAAAAAGTGAAATAGGATTTTAATGAGCTAATAATGATACTGAGTGACAGGAATACAGGTCCCTTGAGATTCCAGAATCATTTGCTGGAAGTCTGGATCTTGTAGCTACAAACAGCAGCATTTGTCATCACCTGACAAATGCTGAAGAAGATACTCCATCACTTAATGTATCATGTTTAAATAGAATAAAGTCTCAATACTTGGTGCTTCAGGTCGATGACCCCTTCCAACTCAGAATATTCTGTGATTCATGAATCCTAGATCTTCTAAGATGGGTAAATTCTAATCTGGATGTGGCCATAAATGCTGAAATTCTAATGCTTCCTGTCCTCTTCCAGTTAGGAACCAGCCAATTATTCAGCTGCTCAGCAGTGCTGCTCTTCTTTAGGAACTTACTGTTCTTGCAGAATTTACGACCTGCCTATAACTGGAGAGTAGTGGCAAACAATGTGCATCACCCCAAATGCAGTTTTCTGTTGAGCTGTACAGATGCTTCCAGCAGCACATAATGAGGGTCCCGTTTTTCCCAAAGCTTCAGGATGTTGTGGTGACACAAATACAGGTGGTACTGCTGTGTGAAATAGGTCAGGGAACCAAACTGACTTAAATAGACTGTGCAGAAAGAGAAAGTCAGCTCAGTGTTTTCATCTCTTCCACAGAACAGCTCCACGAGCAGTTGTGCTTCTGCAATCAAGGCAGCAGACAGAACGGAGACAGGAAGAGGTGATGCCTGAGATGAACTGAACAACTCAGGGTAGGTGGATATCTTAAACCTCTACTGCTGCAAAAGACTGTGATGCAATTGTGGCTTTGGTAATGTCCAGAGTCTTCAAGCTCTGAGTTAATTTTTGGGTTCTGGAAATCTCGCATGTCTGCCCTGGCAGGAAAATGTTAATATTGATTGTTTATGGAGCAAAGTGTCTGGATGAGCACATAAGCTTTCTATGGGATACTCTGAAATTATTTGTAGGAAACAAATGTGTTGTCTTTTGAGTTCTTTGTAAATATTTGTGAGAGTTGTTTGTTTGTGATTCTCTCCTGCTGAATATGCTGAGATTTACTTCGAGGTGATATTTTGGTTCAAGTGCTAAAGGAGCAGCTACAAAATGCCTTGTGCTTTGCAGTGCTCTAAACCAGCTGTTCTGTAATTTTCAGGCCAGCCCTAGATCATGGCCCAAATCCCAGCGTTTTGTTATCAGCTGTGCAGGTTTTATTGCACTTAATGCTCTTGGCAATAGGGACTCGTCTTCTGCCTTTTGTTAGAGAATGATGGACTTAGAGCAGCCTTAGCCAGGTAAGGGCTGTCTCAGCTTTGGGCAGTCCCAGGTGTGAAGCAGCATGAAAGTGCTTGGGAGACTCTTCATCCGGCTTTATCCTCATCCCATGTTGTAACACTGTCACTTTACCATGAACTGCACTAACAGCCATTGGGAAATGGGAAAGCAACAGTGCAAATGAGAAGGTGGGGCTGCTTTTCTCCTCAGTGCTGTAAAAGGTTGCAAGTTGATAAGAATTTGTCACGTAATGGAGCTTTGGATTGTGTACTTGTTGTCTTGGACACTTGTGAAACAAACTAGCAACTGTAAAGATCTGGTACACGCTTCCTTATGGAAAGGTGGGTGTTATGGACAGGAATTCTCTCTTCATGGCAGCAGCTCTAGCACAGGGGGCTGTGCAGCTTCTCTTGCTCTGGCTCCTGCAGGGAGAGATGTTTGAATGCTGGTCTCTGTGTGGGAAGTTCAGCCATCCCACGTGTGTGTGCCATGAACAACACGTGCTGGTGATTTGGGGAATTATCCCAGCGCTGTGTCTCTACCAAGTGTGTGACCAGTGATTCCCAAACGTTCCTGTACTGCTGCAGCTTTAGCTGGATGTCTGGCAGCTCTGCAGAGGCCACTGGCAGTGCTCTGACGGGGCTGTTGGCTGGCAAAGTGGAACAAATGCTCTGTGCTGATGGGCGATAACAGCGGGGAGGGAGGGGGATGTTGATGTCCCTGAGGAAACCTGCAGAGCACCAGTCCCTGTTCCCGGGTTGTGTTCCTGAAGGCCTGCACTTCACACTCTGAGCACTGCCATCCTCACTTATTTTCCTTCAGCCACACTGAGCTTGTGTCTTCCCCTCCACGTCAGCAATGCCAGCACCCCTGAGAATGAAGCTGTTTGCTGAGGGCTTTATATTTCCATTTCTGTATCTATGCTTAGGCCCCTTGCATTGAAAACGTTTACCAAAAATATTAATTAGTACTGGCAGTTCTGTGCTTGCTGGTCCGTGGTTTGCAATACTGGGTGTGGAATCTAATGGAGGAGGTTGTGAGCATAACTTCAGTGTCTTTTGCCTTTAAATAGTATTTCAGATGTAGGCAGCCTGAGAGTGCCGTGTTATGATTACTGTGATCTAAGTAACAAAATCCCATTGACACTATAAGCTCAGGCTTCATTCAAAAAACCTGCTAAAGTCTATCACATCAAGAATTTGTTAATATGTTAATTGGAGTTCCTGAATTTCCATTTATGGAAGGAACCCAATGGCTTGGTTAGAATCATATGTTGTGGCAAAATTTAGAACTGTCATCTTACTGTGGCTGTGATTATCCAGTGGCTCTGGAAACAGGGAGAGTATGTCAATTTTCTCAACAATAATATGTTCCTTTTTTCCCCTGCATAAAATGACACTTGCAACTACAACTTTATGCACATTTCTGTGGACTTTATTTAGTTCTGAGCGTTACACTAAACCCGATGGATACACTTACATTTCTATTGTGCCTGTTGGAATAAATACACATGCCCTCCAAACAAAATCATTTCTTCTACTCACATGGAGACCTTTGTCACCTTCAAACTGGAGCACATTTGTATGAAAATCCTTTAGGAACAGGTGATGTCTCTGAGCACAGCTCCCCAGCCCTGGTTGCAGAGAGCTGGCAAAATGCTGCCCCACTTGGAGGCTGCTCAGTGTCAAAATATCCTGTAAATGCCAGTGTGCAACACTTAAGAGAATTCTCCTGCTGCTCTGTGCTGAAGTACCTAGGCACAATATGAATTAAAGATGAAGGAAAAGGACACAATTTAAAATTTTTGTTGCATTTTATAAACCGAAATAAAACTCTTTGTGGTCTTTGAAAGTATTTTTTGTTTCAATACGGTGCATGTTTCAAATCACAAAGTGTCTCCTTTTTTCCTTTTGCCTGAAAGGCAGGGGGTCTAGGACATTTTAATAGCTTTCATATCGTACCCTGCAAATATATTATTGCAGCACA